GGGGGGGGGGGGGGGGGGATAAACAGCCTTATTTATCTTTCAAAATTTCTAAAAGAAAGGAAAAGGACATATGGAAATCATTCTTGAAAGTACAGATCTGAAGAACCAAATCATATGTGTTCCCCAGTAGCCTTTGTCAGGTACAATACAATAAGAGAAGAACCTTTGAAAGCAGAATTTATTAAGACAGAGGGGGATAGCGCCTTCACCTGATTAGCAAATCTCTTACGAACTTGATTAGCCAAAGAAACTGCATCCACCTACAAAAAGACATATTTTGGTAAACTTGCAGCGTTTACAGCAACAGAAGTGTTTGAACCAGAGTACTCTTGATGCCTAAGATTAAAACAAAACCAGCTAAACAAGAAGATGGGGTTACAACCAAAATACACCACAACCAAATTGTAAAAGATCTGCATGCTCTAAATACCAGACTTGCTATGCGAGCTGAAAGATATGGTACAGTCAACACCAGAAGAATCTAACTCCTTCAAAGGGAATAGAGACATTGCGCGGTACACTAGAATGAGTTTACCTGCTCATCTTTGGTCCCTTTTTTCACAAACTCCAAGTCAAGGGTAAGCAGAGCAAGGTTGAAGTCATCAGGTGGAACAAATCTGCATTTGAACAGTGAAACCACTAATTAACTGATGTTACGGCAAAGCTAGACCACAGAAAACAATAATATTTGAATAGTCTTGCCGAACCTGTTAACAGATATAGCATCTCCAGTGGAAACTTTAGCATAGCGTCTTTGAATCGCATTAAGACCAAGATGACCATTAGGAATGCCATCGTGGGCAGTGTTTCACAGTTAAGGCAACAGTAAATTGCATTATCTTCAACCAATAAAATGCTACATAATGATGATGAACAGAATATGAAATGGAAATTTTAGAGAAAGACAAACAAGAGACAACAATCTCCTCAAGAGTTTTGAATTTTCTCATTAGCATTTGCTACTTGACAGCCTTTCCTATCAGAAGTTTAATAAAAGATCTCCTCCAGTAGCAGGGAAAAAACACTCTCTAATAGTTTACTAACCTCAAAATGATATTTTCAAATGGAAAAGGGGATATAACTGAAAGGAAGGAAGTGTAAAAGTTTCCCAACTAGCCAATGGTTCACTAAGGGTTATGCCACACTCGCCTAAATTTGAGACCACTGATCTCAAATACACTCAAGAGTCAAGTCACTCAACTTCCATCATTGCTGGTTCAAGCCTTACCTTCTCTTTAGGATGACTACTTTCCAAATGAAAGATATGTTTCCTCAAATAGGTCTATTTATATAAAGAGGCTGTCAGGGGAGCACGTCGGTAAGGACTTACGAGTTCATCTGAACCCAGTAGCTTTGACTCGGACCTTGTATATGTGTTAAAAGATTCACTAAATAAGTACAAATAATAGAATTCGAAACCAGTAAATCAAACAAATTATGTAGAATTCTGAACTCGAACCTACAATGTTCAACTCCTTGGATCAACCATTAGTTTCACGTGAGGTAAGAATAAGAAATTGGATGATCATTTGCTCATCCAAATAGATAGGGTTAAAAGAAAAATATATATATATACCCGTGAAAACCTCATTTCCACAGTGATCAAAGCAAAAATTGTGCCACACAACTCCTAATAGACAAAGTTATCCAAAAATAGTTGATATCTCCCGGCCAGCCGGTCTCTAAACGAGTAAATTAGCAATCATTTCCCATTATCTTAAAAAGCTAGCTCTCAAATTCGCATTATCATACTATGTCCAAATCATTTAAGTCCACTCAGCTTGATAGCATCTCAAATGCGCATTATCATACTATGTCCAAATCATTAAAGCGAGGCTCGCTGAACTATTGATTAACGTCCTTCAAAAATGTCTTGTCAGTTCAAACAATCAACAATCAACTATGCCTCGATCTCAAAGTAATAAGGATCAGCCTATTGAATTCAGTATTTGTACAATTCGTCAAAATTATACTATTTTTACTCCTTAGACCTACTAAACTCACATATGCTCATCAGTTCAAAAAGAACAAAAGTGACATGCGCTAACTTAAAGCAAACAATCATGTTCAAAACACCAGTCGTAATAAAATCAGAAAAGAAATTGCTAAATTAGATTAGCTTTATGTTCGCTACATCCTAGCTAGCACCATTCAGAGTAGGTCCACTCAGCTAGATTATATCTATTAAATCTCTTGTCAATTCAAAGTTCAAAGCTTCTCAAACTAATAAGGATCGTCCTATTGAATTCAATATTCATACAATTCATCATAATTACACTATTTCTATGCCTTAGACCTACTAAACTTACACATTATCGTCAGTTCAAAAACGAAAAAACTTGAAATGCGACAGCTTGTTCCTAATAAAATCGCACAAATTTGATCAAATTAAGAATAAGAATAGTAATGAATAATATTCGAAAGGATATGCTAAAGTGAGAACGAAATCATCAGCGATAAGTGCATAAGCGAGCTTAGATCCAGGAACAAGGAAGTTTCTGAGATCCGCCGGAGAGCAATATGCGCAATTTGTGTAAGCGAGATCTTTCGCCGGCGTGTAAGTTACGATCATCGTCGATGCTGCGGAACCAAATCTCCCTGCCATTTTTCCAGAGTTCGAAATGGAAGAGATCAACGCATGAATTTGAATAAAGAATAGTAAATGCCTTGTTTGCTTGGCTATTAAGGGAAATGAACCCGGGTTGAAAGTCGGGTCGGACCGGACCGGACCCGGATTACGAATAAAAAAGGAAGGCTCATGTGGTTCGAGCCAGAATTTGCTAAGGTATTTCTCTGTCTTAGCTCTTAAGCATCCCTTGGTCTTGGGAACAAATTATTGTAGAATTATAATTTAAGGATTATAATACAAGAAATAAATGATGACGATACTATTTACAACAACAACAACCCAGTGTAATCCCACTAGTGGGGTCTGGGGAGGGTAGTGTATACGCAAACCTTACCCCTACCCCGGAGGAGTAGAGAGGCTGTTTCCGAAAGACCCTAGGTTCAATAAGACAAAAGGACAAAAGAACAAAAGGAAACAATATTAGTAACACCCCAGAACAATATGAAAGAAATACATATATATATATATATATATATAGAGAGAGAGAGAGAGAGAGAAAAATAAGAACAACATGAAATCAAGAGGCATGATACCAAGCAAAAGCAAAATAGTATCCTTACCAAACTAGTCCCCCAAAGTTATGACATAAGACGATACTCAGTTACCTCCTAATCTACAACCTTAATACTCGACCTCCACATATTTCTATCAAGTGTCATGTCCTCGGGACGATACTATTTACGATATATTAAATATTTGATCTGTTAGACTAAAAATAATATATGCAATATATAATAAAATATATGCGTTTAATTTGCTCTAAATAAATTTATTTCTAATTTTACCTTGACTTTCTTAAAAGATTTAGGGAAGAGAATATTGGAGAAGGACATATTGGTTATTTTGTTATTTTATCCTAAGACCAGTAATCCAAAAATCATTATCCCATATTGAATCAAATAAGAATAACGATTCGTATCAAATTACTTCGATACGGTATTTTATATTATGTGATAAATTAAATTCTGAAATGCTGAATCGAAATTCTTATATCGAACTTAAGTATTAAAACTATTCAATAGTGTCCATATTATTATCCAAGCAGTTCAAAAATGTTCTCCCACTAACGAGGACATATAATTCAAGAATAATTTTGGCCATTTTCACATGAAATAAAAGCCCTTCACGTTTGCATATGTTAGTTGTTAAATTTCTAAAGAAATTAGTCTTGGAGACTTGGCGGGAAATTAAATTTCTTAAGATTTTGCATCATCGCATGCAAAATTGATTTGTGAGGAGATGTCGTTGCATAGTGATCGCTCATCATTTTATAGCTTGAACTCGTTCAAATGTTATAGCGAGATTGTACAAATATCTTAATGTAATTGTAAGTTTAGTAAATTGATTTTCGTATGTTGTGCTTAGTTTCATGGATTTCTTTTTTGTTGAATGTGAATCACTTTACTATATTTGGTAAATTGAAGATTAAAAAAAAAATCGGGTCTTGTTACTGAAATTTTGGTTTGATAAGGAATGGGATTTTCTATCTGATATTCTTTTATTTTTATTTTTTTTAAAGAAAATTACTGATTGTTTTTCTTATTCCTTTCTTTTTTCTTTTTTGTTGAATTGGTCAAGTTAATTCATGTGTATTTTGGGAATGACAAGACAAAGAATCACCCCATTCTTTGAAATTTTCTGGATGCCATTAAGATTGAAAGAAACAACATGAAGAAAAGTATTGATAAAATAGAGGTTATTAATCTTGCGGAGGTTCGCAAAAATAGTACATTGAATGAAAAAGTTCATAAATCATTTAGAAAAAATATTATTTATAAAGACTCGTGTTTGACTAAAAAGTATGAGACCTTTTGTTAAACTAATTAAATAAGAAAATAGAGGGTAAATCCTAATTAAGGATAATCAATTCTAGATTTGAGATGGATAACATGAATAGAAAAATATAGTTGAGTACAAATGGTGGCAGTAGTTATGGACGGATCTAATAGTATGAAAAAGACCATGTAATAAATAACATTAAATGACAATAAAATATAAATAAAGGAGAAGATTCACCCAATCTTGAGTGAGGCGGATCCTCTTTCAGTTGATAAAGATGAATGATATACAAATACAAGAATCTTAGGACCTTTTCGGATCTGATAGGGAGTGTGGGATAATAGATCATTTAATCTCTTTAGAGAGATTTGTTTTTATTTTTTCTAGAGATAGAGAGTCGTACTTTTTTTAGAGAAGTCCTCTGTCCCCACACCCCTTCATTTACTCTCTCTTCCTATTTATAAGGGATATCCCTAGAAAACCCTAAAAAAATACAATTGGAGGGGATATTCGATAGAATATTCCCTTTGAAGATTACAAAGCAAAACTTATCATTACTTCTATCTGTACTGCTCGACCTCGGCCTTATTGATCATTGCTCGATCTCAGCCTTATTGATCAATGCTCGACCTCGGCCATGCAACTCAATTCGATTCACATGTTACTCGTGATAATTGTTCCGCATGTCAAATTTCTCTAATTTGATTTTGACCCATACAGTTAGTCCCTCCGCTTATCGAGGTCGTCTTTTGGTCGAGCTCGGTGAGCGGACTTCATTAATCGTAGAAGAAATTCAGATGGGGAGGTCAAATACTGAGGATCTCAGCTGAGGGTGTCGATCTTCAGGTCCAGGTGGTATCCCTGCGGACTGAATTTGAGCAGAGTTTGACCGGGGCCAATGACTCGAGTGATGAGTTGATCGAGAAAACAACAGAGTTAGAGAAGGCCAACGAGGCCAGGATGGCGGCTTTGGCAAGGAGGGCGACATCGGAGGAGGTCATCCGCGTCCTTAGATCTGGACGGGCGATTCGGCACTTGTAAGATGCCTTATCAGGTACCTCCTTTGATTTGGAATGCTACTTTTGCTACTTATTTCTGATTCTATTTTTCGAGCGAGGTCAAACGTTAAATCGAGCGAGGTCGGATGTGAGATTCGACGAGGTCGAATGTTGATTCGAGCGAGGTCGAAAGTTGATTCGAGTGAGGTCGAACGTACATTCAAGGGAGGTCGAACGTACATTCGAGCGAGGTCGAACGTCGATTCGAGGGAGGTCGAACGTACATTTGAGCGAGGTCGAATGTTCATTCGAGCAAGGTCAAATGTTAATTTGAGCAAGGTCGAACGTTGATTCGAGTGAGGTCGAATGTTAATTCAAGCAAGGTCGAATGTCGATTCGAGCGAGGTCGAACGTCGATTCGAGCGAGGTTGAATGTTAATTCAAGTGAGGTCGAATATAAATTGTTTAATTGATGCAGCATCGCTTCTGAGAAAATGCGGGTGAGCTTCATGCATTCACGCTTTGCCTACACATATCGGAGAGATTCACATGTTTTTCTGGGATGGCAATCCAATCCCAGTCTATATGGTCTCTCGACATCTTCGGATTTGCTTTGACGACGATCGTTCCTTGTTCGTATATTTGGGAGAATGCTCATGCTTCTATTCCACTTAGAAAAATAGTCAGTTAAACCCAAATGAAGTCGTTCGTTACCTCGATTTGATCGGTCAATGAGTGGAAGGGAGTGACCACGTTCCCTTCTCCAGTTATACTTTTAGTGGCCGCTATCAATTTGGCAAGGCTGTCCACTTCGATATTCATGCTCGAGGGATTTGGTCGAGCTGGCATTCGTCAAACTCGGGTAACGGCTTGTAGATCTCGGCATGGTATTTTTGCAGTCTTTGTTCCTTGATTTGGAAAGTCCCTGCGACTTGATTGACAACAAGCTGAGAGTCGCACCGTAAGACGACTTGTTCTGCTCCGTACTCGAAGGCTAGCTTTAGACCTGCAATTACGGCCTCGTAGCTCGGCTTCGTTGTTAGTCATATCTGGGCATCTTATGGACTGACAAATTACTTCGCTTGTTGGGACCTCGAGTTCGAGTCCCAATCCCGATGCGTTTGTAACCTAATCCAATCCAATCTTGGGTGCACAAAACCAATCTTGAGTTTAGGAACTTGGTATAGTGCTGCATGACATTGACACTAAACCACAAACTTCCTTTTGAGATAAGTAACTTTTAACAAATTATTTTTAACCTTTGCTTCCTTAATGACACTTATTGCAGGTAAAAAATGTGCCTATCATAAAGGACGAAAGGAGATGGAGAAAGTTAAGCCACATATATCACAAAGGCATGCTTTAAAGCTTTTGCCTACAGTTTTTCCAGTTTGCATTTGTAACGAAAGGATGACGCTACAATGAACAAAAAGTGGAACTAATTGAATTTTAGATCTAGAGGAAACTAAAATTTTAACTAGAAAATTCCCACATATAGCGCCAAATTGTTTGACTAAAAAGTATGAGACTTTTTGTTAAAATAATTAAATAAGAAGATAGAGGGTAAATCCTAGTTAAGGATAATTAATTCTAGATCTCAGATGGATAACATGAATAGAAAAAATATAGTAGAGTGTGAATGTTGGCAGCAGTTATGGACGGATACATTAAATAACATTAAATGACAATAAAGAATAAATAAAGGAGAAGATTCACCCAATCTTGAGTGAGGCGGATCCTCTTTTATTTGATAGAGATGAATGATAGACAAATACAAGAATCTCATAACCCTTTTCGGATATGATGAGGGAGTGTGGGATAATCGATCATCTAATCTCTTTAGAGAGATATGTTTTTATTTTTTCTAGAGATAGAGAGTCTGCTCTTTTAGAGAAGTCATCTGCTCTCTCTTCCTATTTATAAGAGATATCCCTAGAAAATTCTAAAAAGTACAATTAGAGGGAATGTTCAGTAGAATATTCCCTTTGAAGATTACAAAGCAAAACTAGCTATTACTTCTATTTGTACTGCTCGACCTCGGTCTCGGAGTATTGATCACTACTCGACCTCGACCTTATTGATCAATACTCGACCTCGGTCTTATTGATCACTGCTCGACCTCGGCCAGACAACTTAATTTGATTCGCAGGTTACTCATGACAATTGTCTCCGTATGTCGAATTTCTCTGATTGATTTTGATTCGGTCAACTCAAACAACAGGCCAGGAAGGACATTGTTGAAGGCTCACTGAGTGCTACAAAGGATGA